CCCCAAAACCCCAAAACCCCAAAACCCCAAAACCCCTTTTCATTTTATTTATAGTGAAATTATAAAATTAATTTTTTATTGTCTTTTTGAAATGCCTAATATGGACCTAATTTCTCTTTTGGGATAGCAAATAGGAGCAGATAGACCAAATATCGCTGATAACCTTAGCAGCTTTCCTTTCTGGAACAAATGTTCCCTCAGAAATGGCCTTCTCTAAGGCTCCATCGATGGAGAGTAAAGAATCTTCTTTATCCTCTTTGATTGCTTTTATATATGAATCAATAGATTCTTGCACAATCTCTAAGCCTGTTTGAATATTTTTATCGTCAGAGTAAAACTCCTTCAAGTCTTCATTAGCAAGCTTGAGAGTGGTATTGAATCCAGGTAAGATTCCTTCAATAAGAGAATCTTCTAAGTTAGTGTTAGCCTCCAACACGTTGTTTCTCACTTCATGGCACCATGTTTCATCGGGATTTTTGAGGTTGACTTCAACAAGTTCCTGGAAATTTTCTGACTGGAATTCCTCTCCTGACTGATCAAATTTAGCATCAACAAAGAAGGATGATGAGGAATCCATTAGTACTCTATCTCAACTCTTTAAATAGTAACCAGTTTTAGGTGAAGCGTCACCGAAATCTTTCAAATTATTTTTAATTATTTCGAAAGATCCAGAGCCTTCAGAGCTTTCTTCGGACAGATCAATCAAAGATACTGCGATTCCTGATTCATCCTTTTGTGAAAGGAGTAGGTTTTTGGCAGATTTGTCAACCTGATTTGCTACGAATACGACTCCGTTTGACAAATCTTCGAGCTGATGTAAAACATTACTTGCCAGATCCTCATCCAAATTCTCCGCAAGAATAATGATTGGTTGTGATACGTCATATCTGTAGTTTAGCTTATCATTGATGAAATGATAAGAAGAGTGGCCAACATCGAGAGCCAATGAATTTTGAACCTCCAAGAAACTTTCATTACTAGTACCAGATACGTCTTTAGTTACTAACAATGTCCGTCTAGTATCTCCAAAGTTTACAAAATCAATGATTTGAGCGATGTCATTGTTGCCCTTTCCGTAGACAGTGCCTGCTTTGAGGACTAGATTATGATCTTCATGGATCTTTCTAGCATTCTGCTTCATAAATCCCATGATATGGGAGAGAGCTCGAGCAATCCCATTGACGACATCGACGTCTCTTGGTTTCACCTTTTGTGTGATGAAATAAGCTAAAAGTCTTGCAGAAGAGATAGCTTCCCTATCTTTGCTTCTGAGGTGAATGGAAGAGAGATACTTGATAAAAGCTCTATCCTTAGTAAATCATAGTTCAGATCCTAGCTTAGTATTCATCTTCTTTGGGTAATAATCCTTCTGGATTTTGCTTTGAGTAACTTCGATGTTGATTCTCTCTCCATTTTTGTAGATCGGCAAAAATTTCTCACCAGACTTGGCTGAAGAGTTTTCAATAAGTGAGAATTTTCTGACAGAGCTGATTCTTCCGACACTACAGAATCTTCTTACGCCCAATACGCTTCTAACACTATACATTTGATGATTTAATAAGTGAGGTGTTTGATTTATTATATATGTTCAGTAATGAAAACATTAAATGGGGTTTTGGGGTTTTGGGGTTTTGGGGTTTTGGGGTTTTGGGGTTTTGGGG